TGAAGGACGGTACTGATGTCTGAGGACTTTCATACCGTCATCACCTCTCAGTTATGAACCTATTTGTCCTTCTGACAAAAATCAGCTGCAAAGGTAAGGGAGCTAGGCTCCAACCTGATTGAACTGAAGAAGCTTGGTTAGTCACATTTTGTCTTCAATCGAGGACCGCCTGCCCGGTACTGCCCAACAGGCAGAAACAGCTGTGTACCTGTGGCTTTTGTATTCAAACCAAATTGGGAATAATCAAAATAGTACTCATTATTATCTTTTGAATTTCAAGGAATTAGTTTTCAGTAGCTTGACTGCATTAAAATTTCTTGATTTCATATAGGTATACACTTCAGGTTTCATTCAACCACGGCACACCAGCCTGGATATTAATCAAAATAGAATGTTAATAACTCTTCCTCAATTTTTGAATTGAACGTGAAGAAGGTGTCCGAAGTATAGAAAATATCACAAGGTCACTCACTAATATACATGATGCGAGAACAAATCGTTAGGTGATGAATCACCGTATATCTATTGAAACGAATATACAATTCATGAAATATTGGAGCATATCAACACTATTAAAAGTGTTTACCAGTGAAATACACAATTTGAAAATAGTTCAAAGAAACGACTACAAGGCATACAATGAGTTCACTCCCGCATATTCAAGACCTCATTTCCTTCAAGGCTTAAAAACGATGAAAAAAATTGAAAGCTGTCGACATCAATATATTTTTGACAGGTAACTATAATTTTTCTTACATATTTCTCATACGATCTGGAAAATGTATTTTGAAACTGAGTATATGTAAAGTGTGTCTCACTTCTCATGTAAACACTCCCGTCTCTTCTGTATGATCGAGGTAGAATGATGAAAATTTCAAAAATGCACCTACCACCTCAATGAGGTTGGCCAAAGTGATATACACTGCCCGCCACTCGCGATGGAACTAACTTTTTTTACGGTAAAAAATACTAGGGGGCAGATGGGCTCAAAATTCTTTCATATTCAGGATCAGGACTATCAACTTACTACAAATACACTTTTTTCCTGGAAAAATTTCAGTCCTGAAAAATCCTAATTTGTCTCACTTCTCATGGAAACAACCCCATATCTTCCGTAATGATTGGGGAAGAATAGGATGGAAATGCTCATAATGCACCTACCACCTGAATGAGTTTGGCCAAAGTGATTTACATTGCCCGCCATTCGCGATGGAACAACCCATTTACGGTAAAACATATTAGGAGGCAAAATAGTTCGCTTCCAATACATGAACTCATTTATTTCAACTGGAGAGATGCTATCATCCATTTTGAACTTCTCTGAGGAAAATATCACAGCGCTGCATTCTTAAATTATCCAGATAGTGTGTATGAAAAATTATCGATGGCGGCATTTAACACACACAATTTAACACACATTTTTTGCTGATTGTTGAAATTATTTGATGAATTTTTCATTCGGTAAAGTTCATTTCTTCAGATTTGTTTATTGCCAGTCCTCGAACATAGCCCACTGACTAATAAAAAAGTGTTTCTTCCTTATTCAGAGGAATCGGGCAAATTTCGGATATGCACTTGATTAGGACGAGGAATGAAATACTCTGAAAGAATTTCGATTTTCAATTATGGAATATCATTGACTTTAGGTCAATGATAGTCACTATCCTGCACTGACGAGTGGCTGAGATGCCCGAAACCGGTCTGCAAGTGTACCCGTTCCAGAATTGAAGGTCGACTCTTTCAGTTGTATTGCCAGTTGCATATGCAGGAAATTTTCTGTGAAGATTGTTTTCTGATAGACGTCAGTCCATTCAACCTTCTGTGTAGGTATATCCGAGATCGGTTTGAACGTTTAAAGTTGATTTCTTTAGATTTGTTTACTGTCTGTCTTCAAGCATAGCCCACTGACTAAAGAAACTTCGACATGAGTTAATAATCTTTCATTATCTGGATATTAATCATACTAATGTTTATTATAGAAATTCTGCTACTTTTTTGGTGAATGATTAGTAAGCACAACTGAATATATTTATTGTACAACGTCACTGGAAACAATTAATGAACAAACGGAAAGCAACGTCTGAAATTGACTAATTTCATACACCTGAGCGAATGTTCTTTGCACGGTTCAGACTTCAAAGCCTTATCAAACGTTTAGGTAATCATGATCAACAAGGCGATGGTTGCCGGGTTACCATTTATGTGTTTTCTCTTTAAACTTCTAGTCAGTATTCTGAAGTATTTTTGTAACCGGAGTTATTCTTATTATGCAGAACATTAAAATTCATGATAAATTGGAATATACTCGTCTCGAAATCAAACAAAAAGCCAAAAATTTGTCGCTAATATACATTCGAATATAGGCATACGAAAAGTTTCAGCAGTGTCAAAATTCAAATAGCTTCAAATCATTCTCTGAAAACGTTGTTTTGGTTTATTTTGAGAAATCACCCAAAAAATATGAGGTTCACACATTCTGTTCATTATTTTCTATGATGAAAGCAACTCTGAACATCGCAAACAATAACGATATTACTAACTATATGTTTTAAAAAATGTTTTTTCCGTTAAAGTTATCGCACCCCTACAAACGACAACCCTCAGGAGTCGAAACGAGGTCTCATCTTTTAACGTGAGATTTGTAACACGGGTTGGACGATAGCAAGTGAAAATTGAACGTTCAGCCTGCGGTTCGAACCATCGACTCACACATCGGCTGATTGACTGAGTGAACAAAGCATCCACGTCGAACCGCCCGGTTACCCACCGACCATATGAAACTGCAATTTCTCCTAAAGCGTTAATCCTCAAATTATACGACAAATAAATGAAGAATTTCAATCGAGGAATATTTTTGTGAGTTTCTAAATATGAAACCAGACGAGACATTTCATAAAGTGATTCTGATGTAAAAAAAAATACTATGTAATGGAATAATACCGGACAATTGTAAAACAGGGGTTTTGACAACTATGCACCTTTTATATTCATCAACTATCCTTTTAATATTCATTTAGGAATATCTAATTATTTGATAATTCAGCTTTTTGTGAATGTTGATCAGTTAGGGTTAATGTAAACAAGTGTTGAAATGACGTTCAATTTCGATTAATAGTAGTATAAACAATTTGAATTATTCATCTGCCGGAGTGGTGAACTGGAAGTGTTTCGAAAAAATTATAAAGTACAATCAGTTTGATTGTTGTTTTTCGGAAGTTCATATGTTTATCTTATAATTTCCCCAGATGATTCTAGACTTGAGGGGGGGTAGTTAAGAATTGAATCAACACAAGTGAAAAGTATCATTATGTTTATGAATCATTTACTAACAACATTATTCATATCAGTCTTACATAGTTTACCAATATTTAAAGATACGGTATGTTAATTTTCAATCTCATCAAATTCGAGCTCATTATCTCAAAAACAAAATAGCTTTTTCTCACGTCTTCTGGTAAATCGCTGTGATATAAAAAAAAATTTTCATTTGTAAGATCGGTTACCAACTCTAAATAAACAACTATGGTACACATGCAGTCTTCAACAGATCGGGTGAAGTCATTTCCCTTACCAGAAATTATCTTACCAATGTTTGTTTCTGAAGAAATGAACTTCAAACGGTCGAACTAGTCTCGAATATACCTACACGGTAGGTTGAATGGACTGACGCCTATCAGAAAACAACTGCTCCGCTGACTAATACCACGAACGGCGTTGGATTATATCCGACAGGCGTCAGTGCAGGAATCTTTACAGAAAATTTCCTGCATATGCAATTGGCAATACAACTGTAAGAGTCAACCTTCAATTTTGAAACGGGCACACTTGCAGACCGGTTCCGGGTCATTAGCCACTCATCAGTGCAAGATAGTGGCCATCATCGACCTATATTCGAGACTGGCTTGAACGTTTGAAGTTCAGTTCATTAGATTTGTTTACTGCCAGTCTTCAAGCATAGTCCACTGACTAATAACAATGTTTGTTTATTATTCAGTAGGATCTCAGTTACATTTGTACAGAACACCTCTTTACAGGAAGATAAAATACCTAGTTACATTCGACAGAAAACACTTCAATTTCAGTCACTTCCAGATAATAATCTTATTTCATTAAAGAATATACACGAAAGAGTAATAATCAAGCCTTCAAATTCAGAAAACAACAGATCAATTATGTTGCTAATTAAAAATGTACAAACGAAAAATTGTCACAAAAAATAGTGTTTCCCATTTCTTCATTCTGTACAATCACAGAATTGTTTTATTCATGAAAATTAATTGAGGAAGAGCGGGCTAATAAATGATGAAGAAACCTGATGAAAGTTTAATGCAATATGGTTCACAGCGATAATAATTTCACGTTGAACAAAAATCTTAGCCTCTGTAGAAATCAATACAAAAGTTTGTTTAAAATGCATTTGATAAATTGAAATGAAGAGACTCATATTTCAAACAGATGAATATGGTAATAATAATATCGTGAAACTTCTCCATCCTGAAAATATTCTAAAAATCATGACAATACATAAAAAGATATGTAATAAATCTAATATTTGAAAGATTCTTACATTTTTTTTTGTATGAAGATGGAGAACTAGAAAGCCAAAACCTCTTTTTCATTGTATAATTTATATTTCAATATATTATTGAAGACATCCCCAAATTCAAATTAATTTTTTCATTCTTCATGAAAATATAACTTTCTTCAGATTGTTATTGTTGATGGCTCTTTCCGTATGTTATTTCCCAAAACAATAACATTTCCCTCTGATTTATTCGAAATTGAAATCCACATATAAGCCTCAGTCTTTCGTTGGTGAACAGTGTCAAGGCCGTCCATTCCAACTATTCCATTTCTAGGTTTCGTTCTCATTATTTACCATAAGCTTTCGGGTTGTCAGGTGTTTCAAGAATTCTCCCCAAACAAATAGCAATTTCGAAGTATTGACAACACTGGATGAAACTCATGTGGCGATTTAGCAGCGACACAAACTTGCAGTTTTCGTCCGCTATTTACCACGTTAGCAGGACAAACTGATCCTGATTTCATTCGCTCTGACTTCGAAATGTTTCGCGCTCGGAGCTCGAAAGTTGAATGAGTTTTCTTGTGTGTTATTAAGTGAAGATGAGTGAAGAGTGTGACGCTGAACATTACGGCCCTCAAAGGGATTCCATCTATATCGTGGTACCACTAACAGTTATCTATGGCATAATTTTCATTACTGGTACCATCGGAAATGTGAGTACTTGCATTGTGATCGCGAGAAATAAATCTATGCATACGGCTACGAACTATTACCTGTTCAGTTTGGCGATATCGGACTTGCTATTGCTCATCGCTGGATTGCCCCAAGAAATTTACCTCTTCTGGTCGAGGTATCCTTACATATTTGGGGGAGTTTTCTGTTTCTTGCGAGGACTCTTCGCTGAAACTTCTGGTAATGCTACTGTACTTACAATTACAGCTTTCACCGTTGAGAGATATCTCGCGATTTGTCACCCGTTTTTGTCTCACACCATATCGAAGCTTTCGCGAGTGGTGAAACTAATCTTGTTCATATGGATACTTTCGATAGGACTAGCAATTCCACAGGCTCTGCCTCTTCAAGTAGTTGGGTCCTGTCCTCAGTGTTTGGTTGTGGAGACGATCATTGACCACGCGTTCGAACTGTCAACATTTTTGTTTTTTGTCGCTCCAATGACTCTCATAATAGTGTTGTATGTCTTGATCGGTGTGAGGCTGAAATCGTCAAGAATGATGAAGAAGAGGATCAGTACCAATGCCAGGATACAGAGCAAATCATCCAGGAAGGTTATCAAAATGCTGGGTGAGCGCTATCTTGATTGTGAATGAGTATTGTCTGCATGTTCAATTCCAAGTTTTGCATCCACAAATTGAATGAAGATTTTTATTTATACAATGACTCTGAGATTTCTCAATTCTCAACCCAAATTTCAATACATAAGAAATTTCATGAGTAGGTATTTTATTTCTATTATTTCGAAAAACAACTGGTATTTTAAAAATGACCGATAATTTTTGGTTAACCAATTAGTTAATAGAACTTTAAGAAGGTATGCAATAGAGAATATTGGGGAAATATTCGTTTTGAGGACAACCGCCGATTTTGAAAAAAATTTTGAGTGTACCTACGTATGTTGATGCGTAGATTACGAATCCGAAAGGAAAAGCGACGATCTCTTTTATTATAACAAAGTTACGGCCCTTCAAAGTTCAGAAAAAGGCAACTTTTCAGCCTTCTTTTTCACAAGATAACTATTTGAAAACACAATCATTTATTAACAAGGTCACCTTCACACCTTATTCCTCTTTCCTTGACACTTTTCACCTCAACAATCAACATTTTTCCAATAAAAATGTTAAAGAATGTACGGAGCTGCTTTTTGGTTATATATCTGTATTTTACATTTTTAAGGTTAATGGCATACTTGGTATGACTGATGCTGTCAATATTTCTATATTTCAACATTTTTATTGGAAAAATATTGATTGTTGAATTAAAAAGGGTCAATTAAGGAGAAATAAGGTGTTAAGGTGATCTAGTAAATGAATGTTTGTGTTTAAAATAGTTTATCTTGTGAAAAATAAAGCTGAAAAGTTGCTCATTTCTGAACTTTGTAGGGCCGTAACTTTGTAAATGAAGGAGAGCGCCGCTTTTTTCTTTCGAATTCGTAATCTTTGCATCAAAATACGTAAGTATACTCAAACATTTTTTCAAAATCACCGGGTACCCTCAAAACGAATATTTACCGAATATTGATATGCTTGAGGAATATGCTTCAACAAAGGAATATGAAAACAGAATAGTTCCAATCCAACTGATATTATCGACTGCCACATTTCACTAACAGATATATTCCTTGAAAAATATTATTATGGTTGTGGTTCATATCACTACGATTTCATTTGTCACCGAGAGGTATCATCAAGATTTTGGAAATAAGGTTGAATTATTTCGTAAGAAACTACTCATTATGAATGCATGATATCCCCTACCACAGAATCTTCTGAATTCAAAAACATTTTACTTGTGATATATTGTCTGAAAGGCAAATCAATAATGGATACATCGGTGGGAAAGTTTATCAAACATTTTGAAATATTCATTAACAACACTCATTACTGTGAATGAATAAAACTTTATATTTTGAATATCGATTCAAGAAGTCTTATAATGGTGACGATTCAGCATATTTTGAATTATATTCTAGTGGTCCTTGTTTTTCAAAAAATTGTGGACAACCTCCATCTTGTTAAAACAAATGAACAACCTAAAGTACATGATCAGTTGTGTGATTAATAGTTGTTTAAAGAATGCAATATAGTTTTTTTTGTTGTAAAAACTATTGAGAATGATTAAGAGTTCTCATACGTATTTTGGAGATGGACGTTGTACTAAAGTTACGACTCGAATTTTCTATTAGACACACGTTTCATATCGTTACGTTATACAAGTGATAAATACATTAATAAATACGTGTCAAATGGAAAATATGCACGAGCAAAGCCTGTGAGAAATGAAGGAGTTGCTGTAGCAGTTGTAGGGCATACAGCGGTGAATATTTTTCAATCTTGAGACTATTTCTTGAACTTCTGAAAGCAGCATGTATCAAATTCTAAAATAGTGAAAATGTTATTCCAGAATGAATAAAAATTGTATGAAAATGATTCAGGGACACTTGTAAAGATTTATGAAGTGATAAATCGTTATTAATTGGCGATGATAATCACCAATGTATGTGTACTCCCCTGACGAATTTGAATTTGAATCTACATGGGTGTAGGGAAATCGACATATTCCAGACGACCGTTGTCAACGGTCAAAGAAAAATTTGGAATCCAAAATGTTTGTTACACAAAACTCTCTCGATAGTCAAGCAAAAACAGTTCATAGCAGTGACCCACAAAATGCCAGGAAGTGTGCGAATATAATCTGATATTTCTTGACATTCACGTAATGAGAAAACGTTATATCTCTGCGGTAGTAATTTCAATTCAGTCCATTTTCAACATTCTATACCAATTTATTTAGACAACGGCTCTAATTGTATACATACAGGTTTGTTGGGTAACAGGATCAAATTATCTAAGAAAAACAGTTGTTGGCTTGTCAACGTTTCAAATTTGATTCAACAATTCTTCAGGTCTCGAGAAGGAGTTTTTCGATGTTGAGACCATGAATCATCAGACAGGTTAGATATACAGTGCATTTCTTTAATTTCCCCCTTTTATTTTTTGAACGGGTCAATTGAAAAAATGGAAATTTGGGATAATGAAATTATTGCCTGAAAACTTTATTTTGAAGTGAAATTGACAGACAAAAATTTCAAGATGGCGATTGGGCGCTATTTGGGAAAAATATTAAATGGAAAGGGAGGGTCTTGTGTCACATTATTTTTAAAGTGCTGACGAATACTCTACAACTCTAGAATATGAAGTCAATTTCTTCACCTACTACAAAATGGCGGAATATTTAATAATTTCCTGAAGACAAACATATTAATATCGATATTTCTAAAAATATTTCTTTTTATCCGCCATATGGCAATTCCAACAACCGGATGAGGTTTGTTGAGTTATTTTTGTTTATAAAATCAATAAAAAATGTCAGTACGACAACGAACATCATTGTTCAGTTAAAATATCCTCATTTAGTTTTCGGTTTTACTAGTAGAAAGGTACCACGTCAACAATCTCCAAAATGGTCAATTCTCGTTCATTGGAAGAAAGAATTGAAGCGATTTTTATTTACGGTGCGACGCGTAACTTTCACGAGACCGAAAGGATTTTCAATGAACGTTTTCCGAATCGTCCTATCTGTTGAAAATATTTGTGGGAACTTGTATCCGAATTCACACCTACCGGTAATAACAAGAGCCCCCAGGTCATCCGTCCATTCCGGAAGAACAGCAAGTGCAAATAATTAGTGAGATGGTAGTAAATCCTGAACAGTCTATTTATTTCATCGCGAATGTTTGTGAGGTGTCTTCTTCTACTGTGTGGAGACTTTTAAAGAGGAATAGGTATCATCCATACAAAATTCAAATGGTACACCAATTAACTGAAGATGACCCTGATTGAAGAACAGAATTCTGCGAAATCATGACGAAAACCATTGCAAGACATCCTACCTATCTCCACAATATTTGTTTTGGTGACGAATGTTCATTTTTTTCAAACGGCAATGTTCACAGACAAAATTGCACTTATTGGAGTGACGCCAACCCTCACGTTTTCCACATACTCAATATCCAGAGAAAATTAACGTTTGAGCAGGAATATTGAAAAACCATATTGTAGGACCTCTATTTATTGATCGAAATTTAACAGGGGAGCTGCATTTAAATATGCTGAAAACTACTATTGATCCTCTCATCACTGAAATCGTCGAAGCAAATTTTAATGAATTCGATATGGATATTGTATTCCAACAAGATGAAGCACCACCACATTGTTCCAGACAAGTAAGAAACTATTTGGATTCTACCTTTCCCGGTCGTTGGATTACCCGTCGAGGTCCTACATAATGACCAGTCCGCTCGCCAGATTTGACACCTTTGGACTTTTATGGGGCTATTTGAAGCAAACAGTGCACGAAACTGAACCTGCTTCAAAATTGTATAGACGGCATAGAATAATGAATATTTGTAGAGATATTGACGTTACTGTGTTCGAAAATGTTCGACGTGAAATATCGGATTGGCTGTTCATATGTTAAGAAGTTCAATGGAACCATTTCGAGCATTTTCTGAACCGACCTCAAGCTTATTTCCACATATTATGTAGTTGAACTTCAATGTATTCAGGCAATTATTAAAAGTTCCGCCATTATATTCTAGGGTTGTGAAGCATTTGTCAGGACCTTCAAAAAGGTGCGTCACGAGACTCACCTTTTCATTAAATTTTTTTCTCTTGTGGCGCCCAGTCGCCATCTTGAACGTTTCATCTGTCAATTTTACTTCAAAATAAAGTATTCATGCAATAATTTTATTATCCCAAATTTCAATTTTTTGAGTTGACCCGTTCAAAAAATAAAGGGGGGGGGACATTAAAGAAATGCACCATAAACTTTCTTTTCTGTATATTGCAATATGCCTCCTTATATGTACAGGGCTGTTCAAATTGATTTCTGTACATGGTGATCTCGCAAACGATAAGAGATAGAATGTCGGTTAAATTGTGGCAAAGTTGCGCATTTTAGAGACCTATTCAATGATGTAAAAAAATCGAATGTAGCTCTTTTGGTTCTGGAGATATACAGGAAAAAAAAAATATCCCAAATTATTTTTTTGTCTAATCTTCTTTATTCGCACACATCTTGAGAATCTGTCCACATTTTGCTATTGCCACTTGATGTTGACTATCAGAATATGTCCATGAATCTTTTATACAGGGTGTCACCTGACTTGGGCCACCCCCATCTTTGAATTTTTAAATACGGACCTGTGTTTTTTATTGTAGTTATTGACCGAAACATTTCCACTCTCAATGACCTTCATTTGTCATGTTTCGTGCATATGTATATCCAAAATTCCAATATTCCATATCGAACATAATTTTCTATAAGCTCTATCTACCATATATAGCAGATCATGAGGACAGGTAAAACATCGAATGGCAATAAAAATACCGCCACCAAAAATTATAATTGGAAAATGTTTCAAATATAATGAGAATATCAACATGTCATACATTTGTCTCATCTGAAAACTGCGGAATGAAACAAATATCATATCTCGAATGAGTTTAGAGGAGAAGTTGTGATAAAATCCCTTAACATAAAGAACTATGATTGTGACCACTTCAGTTAAATTGTATTCAACTAACCTCAA